AGTTAATGATAAATTTTTTGACTATGTTAAATAGTAATATTTATGTATAATTGTTGACAAAAAATTGCTTAAGCAAATTTTAATTTTGAGCCATTTATATGGTCAAATAAGTTTTACATTTAATACATTATAAATAGTTTAAGTACATCTGTAATGCTTATCAACTGATAAATTTCTTATACTTTTGTAAATTCCAATGCCATTAATAATTTATACAATCATTTTACTGAAACAATAACATTTGATCAACGTTGCTTAAAATTTTCAATTTTGTATTTTGCTCTTAAATAAGTTATCGATTCATCTAAAAAACACTAAAGTTATATTTTATAAACATTAATCAATAATAAGTAATAATTCAATTATATATTTATATATTATATAATTATTATATAATATTAGTTACATAAAATCAAACTTGTGTGCAAAATGTTAAATTAAAGTATTTATAACGATTGCGGCATAAATTATGTCAATTAATATAAAAGACTTATAATTTCAGTTGTCTATTTGTAGAATTCTTAGAATTAATAAAGAATGTTATATATCATTATATATAAATGTGTGCGCGCGCGTGCGTGTGTGTCTTCTGTGTACATATGCTATGCATACATATATATTCATAAAACATCGGAAATAAACATTCGTTACCGCGCAAATATATACGTTATTTTAATTAATGTTTGCTTATACAATACATTTATAAAGAAAAGTAATTGGTCAATGAGGTCAAAGAATTGTTATTAGAAAATTTAATTTTATTTCAAATAATTCAAATAGAAGAATTGATTTATGTAGTTGATTAGGGAAAGTAATGTTTCTTTTCTAATTAATAATTTAACAAATATGTAATTAACACTACTTAGTAAAAATATATTCAGAAAAAAAATGTTTATATATTCAATTGTACTTAATGCTTTGATTATCGAGCGTTATTTCCCTACTTCTAATAAATTTACGAAAACATTTCTTCATTCTTTATTCATACAGTTTACAATTATAAATGTTTTTTTGAATTTATTAATCCTTTGAAAGTTACTAAAATACAAACAACGAAGGTAATAACTAATTATATAACTGCTTACAAAAACTAAAATTCCTTACGAAACTATGGTTTAATATTAAAATAAAATATTTTAATAATCCAGTATACAAAGTTTTTTTAATTTGTATTGCTACAGTTGGCAACAAAGTACATTCGACTCTGTAATTACCAGCAGTATTAATAGTGTACAGTAAAAACAGCAGTATTAAACGATCAGACGTAAATTCTTTATATTATCAAAGTTAACTTTGAAACATAAATGAAAAATTATAAAAAAATGTATAAATAAATTTCATTATTAAAATGTAGTAATGGAAAATCATAAGAAAATGAAATGTTATATAATTCATATTAACACAATGATTATTATCATTATTGTCTATTAATTTGATTATTTTATTAATTGTAATTTTCCAATTGGAAGAACATTGTTCTACATCTTTGTGAAAAAAATTGCGTGAAAATTATGAAAATTAAATGTAAAGGAGAGGGCGCCGCTGTATCGGATTGAGAGGAGATTCGTTGCGCCGCGATTCAAGCGAAAATTCTAGCGCAACCGAATGCTCAGGGTGCATTTGAAGATTTAATGACTAGGAACAGATGCTGGAGCAAAAGGTCTTTCCTTAATGCAACGAAGCTATGACGTGATTACGGTAGGGATCGAAGGTTATTTTTCTTACAGCATTAATGGAAATTGAATATAAATTCATTAAGTTTCTCTTTCTCATTCATAATTTCCAGTACTCTTTGCAAACGCCCGTTGACATATATTAAGTAACGGTATATTAAGTACAAGAAACAAATTATAATGTTATGGTAATTAAATTGTGAAATGATACTTATAATAATTCCATCTATTGCATCGTCATGAAAAAATTATTGAAGCGTATGTTGGGATAAATGTAAATATACAATAATAGTTATTAATTTTAACACAAAACTTTTTAAATTCGTATATTGATTATTATTACAAAGAAAATTATTTTTACAATTTCATATATTTTATCAATTAATCAACGAGATTAGAGAATTAAAAGTAATAGAAATGAATGCAAAGTATATCCCAAAGTCTATATATATATATATATATATATAATTATGTATACATTACGTTTAAATCTACCATAAAACTATAATCTTTTTTCACATATATATGGTAGCGATTATTGATAACTTTTTCGAATCGGCAGATTTTCACGACGCACACAAGGATAAAGAAATACCGTATTGACAAGTAATGAGTGCAAACAATTTTATATCTATAAAAAATATTCGAAATATGCATAAAAATGTAAGCTAACATATAATAGATTGGAATAAGATACTTTTATACCTACATTCAACTCACTTATGTCATCGCTATCTCTTATGGACCTGCGATGGGAATAGACGTACATGTAGCTCTTAGGATTGACACGAGAATGGAGATTTGCCATAGATATGATCGGTGCCACAACTCCGCTATCCGAAATGACATCGAGAGTAAGATCGCGATTCCATTCATTTTTATCATCTATTTGTGATTGATGATCCGTGTAAAATCGTTTCTCCTCGTAGTGCTCAAGAACGCGTCTTAAAATTAATTCAGGTTCTAACTCATGAGTGGCCTGTAAAAATCGAGTTTTTAAAAATTTAAAGCAGCACAATTTAGGCAGATAAGCGAGTCACAGAAGCCACTTTTAATTGAATATTTTACTTATATCGATGGAGCTGAAATACGACTATGAATATTTCACAACATATATCTTCCAATTATTTGTCAAGATACATTGAAAATTCATATAAAAAGTAATGTAACAACTATATGAGACTCCATATATAAAATGGAATATCTATTAATCTTTACTATTTGGCATTTATTAATGGACTATTTAAATATTTTAAGAAACGTCGTTATTGTATTGTTAATAATTTTAATTCATAAATAAAACTGATACTTTTTTAAAGAATCGTGTTTATATGTCACAAAATAAAAGAGATATTTATTATGCACAAAGTGAAAAATTGTTTTAATTAAAATTTCTTTATAAATGCTTCCATAATTATTATAAGAGTTTGAAAAATTTGCCATTAATGAATAAAATATAAATCTCCTACAAATACGATCCTTTTATTTTTTCAAGATATTTTATTATGTAAATCAATTATGCTTTTCACAAGTTAAACGAAAATATCTTTTTCATTCATTCATTTTTCATTAACTAAATGCAAGTTCAAACCAAGTAAGCTATATCGTAGATGATAACTGTTTCTCGTTTATTTTATTAACAAATAGCAAGAAAAAAAAAGAGCTTTCTTAACATTCTTAACATAATCTTTCTATTAATGTAAAAAATTTAATTTATTTTATAATTAATTTTTCGATTACAACATTAAAATGCTAACTACGTTCATAATTATTCATTACAATTTCAAAATAAAAATGAATAATAAACTTAATAGATATGTTATATAATTTTGTATATCTATATTTATATGATTTATATGACAATTTATATTATGCATTTCATTATTATTATATTAAGAATATAATAGACTTTGCACTGAATGTACTTACTTTAACACTGTCACGGATAAGTTCATTCCTTTTCAAATCGCTTAGTCCCTCAAGCAGTGCTACTCCCGGAAGAATGTGGAATTTTTCCAATTCAGTTACACCATACATAAGATCGAATCTGTAATGTGATAGAATTTGTAATTGAAAAAACTTGCGACAAGTATCATAAAAATCATCACTATATAATAACTTAAACTTTTTCTACATCTTTATTGAATTTTTTTAACGATAATTTAATACAATTTTAAACAAATGAAAGACAGTCGAAGCACTGGTTTTCATGATAAAATAACATTCGATTAACATTTAATGCTTCAGATATTGACATTTCTAAGCAGCAAATATAAGCTTTTTTTTACTTCAACGATTTGATATATAACTCATTGAATGAAAAATTCACAAGGAAACGGAATAAAAAAAAATGAAGGGTAGAGAAATGTGTAACAGGGAAAGAAAGAATATTTATCATATGTATGTATGTATGTATGTGTGCATGTGTGTATATATGTATATTATAAAATTTCATTATATTCTAGGAGCACTCGATTGGAATTGATTTTTTCTACTCTCTAATTTGCCAAGCTGCCGATAAAATTGCACCACGCAAATCGAATTTAAAATTGGTCGGATTTTCTGCTTTAAAAAATTTTCTTATCGATAGTTGAAGATAATAAATTAAATTTCGTTTGTATAAATAATTAAAATAATATTCAATATCTTGTATAGGTATACGTACTTGGCTAAACGTTCGGCATTCTTCATCAAGTTTAAAGGCTTATCAGGTATCACAGCTGAATCAATTAAAGGAGCGAATGCAGGTACATACTTTGGTTTATGAATCTTAACATTTAAAAGATCGTGCACCGAGCGATTCTTAAGACACGCTGCTAATTCTTCATCATTGACTTGTGGACAGTTTAAGGCATATGCGACCTGTCAAAAAAAATTCGTTTTTGGCATTAAAAATATATTCCATTCATACGATAAATGATAAAATATATATTGTGATGTATTATCGTAGGAAGATCATTTTTTTTTTATTAATTTTAACCGTGTTTACTGATTTCATCAATCGAATTTAGAAGAAATGGCAACAAATGCATAATCAGATGGATCATACTATTTCAATTAAATTTTTAAAAAGTGTTTCTTGTCTCATTCGTACGAGGGTCAATATATATATATATATATATATATATAAGCTTTAATTTGCTTTTAACATTTAAAAAATTTGAAATATTGTTATGTAAAATAAATTAATTTTTCTAAATAGAATTGAAATTACTTCATTTTTTTTATCTTAACTTAATTAAAGTCTTTTTCAAAATAACTCCATATTTGCTGAAATATTTTTATGTTGACAATAAATTTATTAATTTAATTTAAATGTATATCTAGTGATTTTAATAGATATCATTAATTATTGCTTTTGAAAAGAACCGAATCCATTGAATGAAATTATTCAAATAACTAATTTATTTGATTCTAATTCGTTTGTATTTGAATGATTATTATTGTTGCCGTTATTTTCACATAAATACAAATTATATTTTTGTATAATTTTCTACGTAAAGTATTATTGATAAAGTTAACGTTCTGTTTTTCTTTACACGAAGCTTAATAATTCATGAAAATAATTCTCATATGTTTCAAAATAATCTAATTATTATGGAATCAAATTTCGTAAAATTCAAATAATTATTTATCAATAGCAATTAAATATATAATTATATACCTGTTTCGTGATTTGTAACGGAGCTTTACCAATTGCATCAGGATTAAGAGCAGAGCCAGACATGAGAATGGCTCTTTTAAACAAACCTGTGTATAAGTATGCTTTATTAATTTTTTATTTTTAATTTTATTAAAATAATCATCTTCAAATGTTATCTAATTGAATTTGAATCTTAGTAAAAAAAAAAAAAGACATTAAAATGACGAACATGATTATTTTAAAAGATTTATTTAATATTATTCATGAATTGTAGAGAGAAGATTCTTCTTTAGTATTCGGGAAATAAACTTAATGTTATCCTATACTAACCGTCAATGGGACTAAGCAGAAGTAAATTAACGAAAACGGCACCAGTACCATGACCAAGTAATGTTATTCTATCAGGATCACCACCGAACTGTCCAATATTATCCTTGAGCCAGGCCAAGGCCGCTATCTGATCAAGTAGACCAAAATTACAAGCAGTATTATCCTTGGTTCCAGGCCGAAGGAAACCTATGCATATAAAAGAAACATAAGATGTTTGTTATTACCATTGCTGATAGAAGAGATTTGTTTTAATTGAATAGGGGGACGAGAAGGTTTTCATTTGAGGTTGGCTGCATCGGTTTGGAAAGATTCCTTCAACTCGCATGATTAAGGATAAAATGATGCTTCGAATCTATAGGAATTATTATGACATTAATTAGTATTTACTAATTTAATATGCTTTTTTCTTAAACTTTGAGCTTGTAATATTATGAACCCATAATGACCAAATATCTTATGAAGCGAGTAGAAAAAATAATAAAAGTTTTCTAATATATATAATATAATAAATAATATAGGATGTATACAAGGATTAGTGAAGAAAGAATTAGTCAAGCTCTAAGTAAAGTGATATTGCAAAGTTGGAGATTATTTGACTTTTGGGCTTAAGTTTGTGAAGATTCTCATTAGTAAATGTAAATACATTGAATTATGTATCTATTTAGTAAACGGCTTATTTTACCTAAAATACCCAGTCGAAAGTTGACAGTAACGAAAACAATGTTTCCATAAGCTGCTAAAACGCTACCATCGTATGGATTACCGCTGTTCCATTCGTAACTCTCGCCGTGAATGAACACTATAACAGGAAATCTTTCTGGCTTATTTCTTTGGCCTAGAATAATAAAAATGTATTATTGAAGTATTTAGTTTAATAAGAAATCCGCTGAAATATTGTAATTTATTATTAAACTAATTGAAGATTTTTGAAATGGGTATTATTATTATTATTATTATTATTATTATTATTTATTTTATTATTTATTTAAAGTCACGAAATATGTTTGTATATTATGATTTATAAATGGAAATATTGCACCTTTGTATGTTTGAGTTGATGAAATAAATCAATTTCAAAGTATAATTTTACTTTGAAATAAATTGAATTACAGTTATACGTTACATTATCCTATAATTGTTACGAACATATTTTTTACATTTATTACTGTTATTTTTAATAATTTATTAATTTTTTTTATTAAACATAGGATAAATTCATAGAAATGAAAACAAATATTAATATTAATGTTTCGCATATTTTAATCCAGCGTAATTTTATGGCCCACGTTTTATCAAATAAACAATCATTTTAGTAGAGGAAATAAATACATAATTATCTTTAAATACATTGATACATAAAATAGTTAACACTAATATTATAAAATATGTTCTGTAAATTATGACATTTTAAATTTGATAAATTTCTAATGTAGCTGACATATTAAATATTATAAAATATATTTATATATTTAGTTTACAAAACATTCGTATCTTACAATAACGGATATTTTATAAATATATGTGAAATATTCAATAATCAAGTGCGATTTAAAAATAATAGAGCGTAAATAAAATAATGATAAGTAATAGTGAAATTACAATAATTTTAAAAAATACTGATTTGTAACTAAAGTCAACTGTAAATTAATATTCAATGTAGTAGGATGAAGTAATTTAGACAGGCAGTTGTTAAAATGAAAAAAATGACCTTCTCTCATATACTTCATTTTATATTATTTTAATTTTTGTAATTATTTGTAGGTAAGTGAGTAATAGAAGTTAAAATATATCTATAAGGGTATTTAAAAATTAGTGAATGCAAATTTATGTATTAATTGTATTACTTGTCTCTTTCTCGATATCTTTTATTATTATGGAATAACAAATAAATAAAAAGTCGTACATAACGTATGGGAAAAGATAGATGTACCTTCTTTTCTTTTCAGCAAATGAAACAATCAGATTTGCATAAATTTTTTACATATTTTGTTTGTATCTTAAAATAGAAGTAAAATTTATTGGTATCGTTCAATAATGAAGAAAAAAGACTGATTTGCAACTCTGCAATTATTCCATTGTCTCTGTATTATTAGTATTTTTATTCAATTGTCGCTCTTTTCTTCCCTTTCTCTCCCCTTCTTCTTCTACTTCTTCTTCTTCTTCTTCTTCTTATTATTATTATTATTGTTGTTGTTATTGTTATTGTTATTTTAAAAAGCATTTCTTTTAAAGTTGAATAAAAAGTTTTAATGTTAGTTTACATTTTGAATTGTCATGTATAAATATAAAAACAGGTAAATAATATTTTATCTAAATGTTTGTTTTTTTCATATTCTCGAGTACACTGGAACACTGAATCAATTTCATATTCTTATAACGAGCGAAAAGAAGACTAAAGTACTACGATTACTTATACAAAATCTAAGCATGAAATATTTTATTCTTAACATTACTCAATGATAATATAAAAACTTGTGATTGTAAGTATGTATTATTTTAATGCTTTTTATCGTCGTGTGTAATGAAAATAAAATTTCCAAAAATTTTATTGAAACAAGAATTTAACATCAGAATATCCAAAGAATTCAATAATATTGTTTATTTAAAAAGCTTGAGATAAATAAGTACGCACTTATTTATGGAAAAAGTTCAAATATTCACATATGCATACATATCTATACTGAAGAAAACTGATTCATTTGGAAGAATTCGAGTAAAATTGAACAGCTTGTAGGATGTTAATTACGTGCATACAATTGGCACATCAGTGAGAATAATTTCAGTCTCTGAATAATTTCATTTTCATTATAACCATTTAGATACTGGTAATATAAATATAACTTGTTACATTTTAATAAAATGAAAAAAATGTTTTGGAAATTACAGTGACTAATATACATATACCAAAATATCTATAATTTTAATATTAGAGTTCTTCAATAAAAAAAGCTTAGTAAAAGTATCCTGCATTTAAATAAAAAAAATCCCATTATTGGTTTAAAATGTTTTAAATTATATTTGTTATATTTTTAATTTAAAATATTATTAAATATGCGATTAATTATAGTGCAATACTTTTCTAAGGATAAAATTCTCTAATGAAAAACTTCTAAAAATAAATTCAAATATTTAAATCAATAATAACATATAATGAAAAAAAGAATGTAAAATTGATATTAAAAGTACGAGAATAATTTTTTCTATAACATATTTAATACAAATGTTAATATATATATTAAGAATATTTGACTAATTATTTCTTTAAAAAATCAAATTAAGTTATTCTTTATTTCATCATTTGTATATTTAACATTTATGATTAGTCAGGTGACTTATATCCGCTTAGAAATTAATCAAATATTATATAATTATATTATACAATTTGTATGTGTTAATATGAAAATTATAATTTATTAGCTTTCTACGTATAATTATTAATTTTAATACTTTACATAGCTTAATCATTAGAATAGTCTATTGAACAATTGTACAATTGTACAATTGTATGAGAGTGTATTTTAAAGGACATGATGCCAGATTTGCAATATTAACTTTATTGTAACAATATTCAGTTATGTGCATGCACGACAATGTTTGTACATCCTATGGTAAACTCTTGGATGTATGTTAAAACAGGATCATTGAGCAATAGTAAGGAATTAACAAGCTGCTGCCATCACTAAGCTTGAAAGAGAAATTGCATGGAAAGTTTACGTTTTACCGTGTAAGTAGATAATTTCCAGACTCGGCCAATAGATGTCTGGACCAGTCTTTACTTCGAGCATTATCTAATTTATGAATGTATACATATATATATATATATATATATGTACACACACACACACACAGACAAAACACGTATATATTATGTTTCTGTATATTTGTATGATTTATGATTTATAAAGATTATAATCTTATAACTGAAGTATATTAAAATTTAACCTCTAAACTATTTATACTCTCAGCTCAATTTACAATATTCTTATCTATGCAATATTATAATAAAAAATTTTCTATGATTTTTTCTATTCTATAATAGATGTATCTATGTATGATTTCTATCTATCTATGTATGAAATCTATGTAGGATTTTATGATATAAATTTACTCGTATCCTTTGCTTATAACCTTCATTTATATAAAAGAATCAAGCGTTTATTTTATTTTTGTGTAATTTTTAAATTTATTATCTGAGTCATTCACTGCATTATTATGTTTTAATCAAAACGAAATATTTGAATAAAATATATGTTAATCTTATAATAATATATGTATAAGAAATAATTTATAATCGAATTTATTTATAATAGAATTGTAAATTTTTCATTTATAAATTTTTAAATCAACTATAATTCTCTTTTTTCACGATTATCAATATAAAATTAATGCAGCGATTTATTGGTAATAATAAACATTTTATATTTTTGTATAATATAAAATAGTTATTCTTAAACATATGCGTTTAGCAAGTTTTTGATATTTTCATATTTATAAAATGTACTAAAGACAAGAAATTGGCAAAAACTATATCTTACAATATTGAAAATAAATTTCCAAAGTTATAACTCGCAGTTCATTATTATTTTTTTGCGCCAAGCTTTTTCATCCTTATCATTATACTTTGATCTTTTCTCTGTGCCAATGATCGTGGCATATCAACACACGGAGGAAGCCATAGTGACAAAAGTTTTTCATGGTATAGTGCAAAGCTGTGTTCGATGGGTCGAGTAACAGTTTTATATGCAAATAAAAATGGAGCAAACAGTAGTGTGCAAAAGCCTGAAAAATAAAAACATATTGAAAATTTTTTTTATCTTCAAAATTTCAATCACTTTTTTTCAATCTTAAATAATATGTTTTATAAATGAAATAAATATGTTCAATAACAACTGTAAAAAATGATATCCTTGTTTAAATAGTTTTTTTTTTCATCAGTAGTACTATTGTTAAAAATGTTATTTACATTTCCTTTAATAAATATTTATTTACGGTTAATTGATTTTGAAATAAAGCAATTTCATGTCTCATATGATTATCTATTTTTAAAGAAAATTGTAAATTCATCGACATTAGTTGAATTTTTTTAAGTTATTTTTAGCTAATGTTCAACCCATTATTGTACAATTCATTATTATTTAATATTTCTTCAATTTTATAAACATACCATATAGTTTTGTCAAATCAAGCTTATTTACATAACAGTCATTGAATGTAGATACTCGTTTCAAATAATAAACATTTAATTGCAATTATTTTGAAAATACATAAAAGAATACATTAAGTATTCATCAATTAAAAGTAAGGATTTAAAAGTTTGAAAAATTAATCAGCATAATCAGTCTTGTATGATATTAAGACATTAGTTATAACTGTACAATCATAAATACTTTGGCTACTCTATATCGAACGAAGACACAAACTAAGTAATAAAGAGAAGAGTATAAATATATCTTCAAAGACAAGCATCTGTTAGTCAATACTACAATATCTCAAATAAATCTAGTACCATAATAGATATCTGTTGAATTTGATATAATGAAAGGGATTTCGGATTAATCTTCATTACACATAAATTTTATACTATAAATAGTCGATTACATTAGAGTATGAGAATGTAAAGAAATTTGATAAAGAAAAAATAATAATGATATTAGTATATCTTGAATAATATTAGGTAAATAAAAATTATTAAAGATTCAGTATGTCGAGCGAGATATCGCTTTAAAGGTGAATTTTACTTTTAAATAACTGAAACGGGAAAGCACTTTATTTGTCAACATTGATCCGAATTCTACAGATAAAAGGTTAATAAATACTATCATTTCAGTCTAAAAT